TATTATATTATCAATAATACTTCGATAATACCGTTAAATATGTTAATTTAGTTACGAAAATCGTTTTATGTATCTTTCCTAGCGTAGCATGACTAATACACAATAAATTGCATTAATTCATTAAATAATTGGGCATAAGCAGTCTTTAATGAAAGGGTAGTCAATATAAATGATTTGATAGCGCCATGGTAAAAGCAAATAAAAATTAAGTAACAATTGTCATTGAAAAAAAGATGTACCCCGCAAGAAGCGATCTTTATGCTGTTGAGATAAGAAAACAAGTAGCTTCATGTATTTTTAAATTCGTCAATCATGGACGACATGGAACAACAGGTATTTATTTCTGCGTTCATTGTACGAAGAGAAAAAGTGTTGTCGTGGTATATATAGGAACAGAGAAATAAAAGTGGATGAAGACCCGAGTGAGTTGCAAGTCTATGAAAGAGTAAAGCCTTTTCTTGCACAGAAGTGTAAAATGACGCCATTTATGATTGTAGAAGAAATAGTTAGTTTCCCTGACCAGAGTGGATTATTAAATAAAAGATAGGATGTCGTTCCTGAATGTGAACGTGAAAATAAATTTCTTTTGTGGGATTGACGAATGGAATATACATGGAATATGCATCGAACAAGGCTTCTTATCTCAATGGCACATACATTGCATCTTAACGTGAAACATGTCGTTACTAATTGTTGTTATTATTGGTCTTTTTACCTGGTTTTACCATTGAGATAAATAGTTACTGATTACTTAGTACAAATTGGGGCTATTATTGTTAAGTTACTGTTGGTCGACGGTTGATCGTAGTTTCCTGCGGGGATGCGCAGTCACGTGATCTAAGATGGCGGGGTTTATTGAGAGATAGGGAATGGTATGATGCTGAAAGACCTTAAAATATCAATGAATCAAGTATTAAAATCATTTATAATACACGCCATCACATCTTTGTGATATATATATATGTGTGTGTGTATATATATATATATATATATATATATATATATATATATATATATATATATATATATATATATATGATAGATAGATAGATAGATAGATGAATAGATAGATAGATAGAACATATTCATAGATAGATAGATAGATAGATAGATAGATAGATAGATAGATAGATAGATATAGACATTTTCAGTTAGATATGAACATACACATAGAGAGATAAGGACAGTATCAGACAGATCGATCATTAGAAAGCTCCATATGAACAATTTTACATAGCTAGATAAATAGATATGAACATATTCATAGATAGATATGAACATATTCATAGATTGATATATATAAAGATACTCATAGATAAATATTAAAACACTCATAGATAGATAGATAGATAGATAGATAGATAGATAGATAGATGTAGACATTTCCAGATAGATATGAGCATGCATATACATAAATAGATAGATTGAAAGATATATATGAACAGTTTCAGATAGATCTTTAGACAGATATGGACAGTTTTAGATAGATAGATAGATAGATAGATAGATAGATAGATAGATAGATAGATAATTGCACGGACTTTTCCAACCGAATCTCCTTAAGGTGTCATGCTTCATTGCGCAAATATATGTAGCATGACGTCATTTGTGTTGCTCTTTTTCTTTCACACGTTTACGATTTGAATAATAAAGAAATTTTATTTTTGTGCTTCTGTTTTGACATTGACGCTTACTTCATTATATTTTGAACATGTTAGGAAATTAATTAGTTGTGATAATTCAATTTTTTTTTCATAATTCTGTTCTGCAATCAGCCATGATTCATTATTCAGATGTCATAATAAAATACGAATATTTATAACGCGTTTTGTTTTGATGTTTTTGCTCCAGTTCTTCTTGTTCTACTTCATTTTAGAATCTTCACTTTTATCGTCACCTTTTTTTTTGTCTTTCTTATTGCTTTTCCTGCAACTCCTCTACTTTTTAATTTTTTCTTTTTCTTCTTTCTCTCCCCTAAGACTTTCGTCTTTTCCATTGTTTTCTGATTATCATTCACTTATTTTTCATTTGTTTCACTTTCATCGTTTTTTTTTACTTCTATTTATTTCGTTTTTCATTTTATTCTTTTTGTTTTGTATTTCTTTCAAGAAATCCATTCATTTTTGTTTACTCCATTTACATTTCTTTTTCGTCATTTCCATATTTGAGTCGGTCATTTTCACGTTTAAATTCTTCATTGCTTTTTCTTTTTTCCATTCTTCATTCATTTTACCTTCATGATTCATTCTTCCTTGTCATTCTTTCTTCACCGCTTTATCCTTCATGCATCATTCTTTATTCTTTCTTTCTTCTTGATGTATAGTTATTCATTTTTCTTTCTTTCTTGTTTTTATAATATTTTATTCTATTATATATGATAATGATGATAAATTTACTTTTCTTCATACTTCTTCTATTCGTTCTCATTTCACTTTTTTCTATTTATATTATTTCTTCTTCTTTTCCTCCTTCTTCTTCAACTTTACTTCACCTTCCTCAATTAATATTTCTCTTTCAACTTCTTTCAAATTTTCTTTTCTTTTAATTCTCTCGCTTCGTTTAATTTTCTTAATTCCTTCTATAATTTTAAATTTAATTCGTCTTTTACCACTACCCGTTCTTATCATCTGCTTACCTGTTAGCTACTTTTTCTCTCTTTTTCTTAATTACTTTATTTCTCTCTTTCCCCCTCTTTCCCTTTCTTTCCCTCTTTGTCTATCTCTCCTTTTCCCTCTAATATTTTATGCATGAGCTCGTCTACGACTGCACACATCTGCGCATCTTCATCTAAACATTCACATGAATCTGCTCCTGCATCCGGACAATGCTTTCAATTGGCGTAATAATACGTTTCCATTTCATTAGTTTCATATCTTTTTAGCGTCATAATGTGCCTTGTTTCACACATACAACACTAATAAATTCTAATGAACATTATTAATATTTTAAAGATTCTTTTCCAATTTGTTGGCCAAAATGGAGATTAGTTGGCATCGACTTTATATCATCTTCTTCGATTCATATTACATTTTTTAAACTTTCAAAACCGTTGATAATTTAATCTCCTAAATAATCTTCTATCTTCTTTTAGTCTTAAGATAGCCACCAGGAAAATATTCCATTGCGTTATTCATAAAACTGTGAAGAATCATCTGGTTAATAATTAGATTGACAGCTAGGCCTCATCACTTTACTATTGAAATTGTTGTTGTAACCGTAAGTTCTATGCTAATACTTTCTCCTTCTACACTTCTCTTCCGGGTTTCCTGTAAACTAGTAATAAACTAGTTTCCAGATATCTTTGATGGACAATTGTTGTAGACATTGATATTTCAGAGGTGGACATAATTTAACATTGAGGGTTATTGCAAAAAAAAAAAATAAAATAAATAAAATAAAATAAAATAAATAAAAAAATAAGTAAATAAATAAAATGAAAAAATTAAAGATAAATAAAGACAAAGAAACTTAAAATTAAATTAAAGAATAGAAAAAAATGTAATTTCAAATGGTATAAACTTTACGATTGCTTAAATGTTGAGAGGCGGGCACAAAATGTCATTCGACAAATGTTCAACCTTCCGACCCCAATGATAGAGATAGTTATCAAGTTTTATAGGGTAGAACATCCCCCACCACTTCAGTTTGGTGGAAGGACCATCAAGGAATTCATTAAACAATGGGAAAGAAAGAAGAAAAAAATGTGCCTGGTTGGTGCTCATAACATCTCTCAGTGGTTTCGATTTTGTGCTTCTTGTATATCTTCCAGTGCACATATGTCGCTTCCTTGTTATGTCTGTGTCTTATATTCGTTTGTTGCCTGTTCCAATGCATCCTGAGATAATATGGTCGATAGTTTCATCATATTTTACGCAGATCCCGTATTTCGGGTTAGTTCCATCCTTGATTATGTGACAGTGATAGAATCTGGTTGGGAGTCTTTGGTCCTGAGCTGAATTATAATTATGCCTTCTGTCTCAGACACTGATTTTTTTCTGTTGGTCCACATAGGCTTTTTAGTTTTATTATTGTTGTTGTTATTATTGTTCGGGTTTCTTAGTTTAGTTTAAAATTTATTTGAATTCGTTTCCGTAATTCATGAGGAATTCAGAATTATTTCTAATCCTAATGATTAATAGAATAAGGAAGATAATCGATATCGGAGTTTCATACTCTACTGGAAACGTTTACCTTTCACAATTAAAAGATGAATATTTTATACCTAATAAATAATAATCATCGGTATAAGAATATCATACTTACATAATCATCACTATAAAAATATGAGGATAATGTTGCTAAAGATTAACTATTTCCAATGTTATATACGTGAATTTTGAAAAGTAATTAATAACGAGTTTCTAGCATTAACATTCGCAAGATAAACTGATAATATCTTTACTACGTTGATGTTTAGAAAAAGCTCAAAATACTTAAGAATTCTCGAAATCTTGTTTCGATTTTTTGCTTGGGCTGAAATGATTTAAACAAATAAACCTATGTTGGAACTAATTTTCCCAATTCTTTCCCTCTTAATATTATGATGTAGGCTTCCTGGTCAGAAACCATATTTTATTCAAAAACAATAATGCTGGAGAATGGACAAATACTACATTTTGACTAGATATAAAAAAAAATAAATGTAACGGTTGTACATAGCACACTAATATTAGTTTTTTTTTTCTGCCAACAGAATTTACTGAGCTGCTACATATCTAATTATAATGAATTAATATTTTCACGTAATCTTTTAATATATCTTACCTATGATACCACACAAATTGACCTTTGAATCTACGAGGGGAAATTTATCGGAGAAACCTCAGAAATCAGTGTACTTTCTATACATTTTTGCTTTAATAAATTACTCTCTCTTAATTAATGCAACATTTTTTAAATTGAAATTATGGTAAGATTCATTCCGTTAAACGACTAATGCAGTGAGAATGTTATTTTCTAAAATCTCTCTTTTGTGTTCATATAATCTTTTATTTAATGTTTACAGCTATATCAAGTCGAAACACCGGTTCTCGTCAGATCAGCGGAGTTAAGCAACGTCGAGCCTGGTCAGTATCTAGATAGATGACCGCCTGGGATACCAGATACTGTAAGCTTGGAAGTGCGGGTGGTGTAATGGATATCGGCTGGGAATTGGAAATCGGAGAGATGAGTTCCAATTCCAGTCCGGTTCATTATATTGACTTACGTGCAAATATTCTTGAGAAACGGATGAATCCAACTCTTCTTCCTTCAGTTTTGTGTTAATTAGTAGAAGCTATATTAGTAAACTGAATTCGGACGTCGATCACGAACGCCGTTGGGAAATTTGATTGCAATTTATTTGCAAAATAGGCCAGACAAATCGCTCTTCCTGCTCTAGAACAGGACAAGTGGAAAAGAAAGAAAAAAAAGAAAGAAAGAAAAAAAAGAAAGAAATAATGTGAGAGAGAAAAGGAGAGAAAGAGAGAGAGAGAGAAAGTGAGAAAGAAAGAGAGTTATTTAATTAACAGAATATAGCACAGGGAACTTGTTCGAGGAAAGAAAGTTGCTCTAATTTATTTGAAAGGTTAGCATAAAAACAGCCATTTGAAAAGCTTTGAAAAAAGGACTGAGGAAAGGAGTAAAAAGAAAAGTATAATGAAATACTAACCAATACGGAATGAAATAAATAATTGAAAGTGGAACGAAAGAAAACCTTCAGCGGGAATGGGAAGAATAAATAAACAAAGACGTGAACGAAAGAATTACAGAAATAATCTATAATCGATAGAAGAAGAAAGCAAGAAAATAAATACAGAAAAAAGAAAAGAAATGAAAATAAACTGAAAGAAAGAGAAAGACAGAAAGTATAAAAACAGAATTACAAAATGAAATGAAAGAAAAATGAATATAGAAAGGAATGAAAGAAAGAATTAACACAAAAAAGACTGAAAGAATGACAATAATTACCTAAAGGAAAGAAAAGAAAATAATACGAAGTAGAAATTGAAGAAAAATAAAGGAATGGAAGAATAAAGAAAGAATTGACTTAAAGAAATAATATCGAACGGAATACAAAGGAGAATGAAATAATATATGAAGGAAAACATACAGAATGAAAGGATTAAATATAAGTGGAAGAAGGAATAAATAATACAGCGAATGAAATAATACGATGTGTAAAAGAATGAAAGAAACGACATGCATGAAATAAAAATAATAATTACGTGGAGAAATTAAAAATAAAAAAGAAGGAAGACAATTTTAAAGTGGAGGAAGAAAATATCTAGAAAAAATATTTTATGTAGAAAAAGAGTAAAGACAAAAATTAACAATAGCATAAAGAAAAATGACAAGAAATATTAAATACAAAAAAATAGAGAATAAAAGCAGATAAGAATGCAAAAATAGGAATGAATATTGAAAAAATATAAGACAAAAGGAATAAATTGAAAAAAGAATGAAAGAATAGAATAAATTTCGTAATTAATAACTCCTGATGTTACGTTCTTTCGAAATATCCACGCAATCGATTGAAAGTTCCGGAAAATTATTCATAAAAATATATGGGAACAACAATAAAACGACCAACACGAAAGCATTAATTGTTACTCAATTAGACGTTAAGCATTCTCTTTGAACAATAGGTGAATAATGAACAATTCGTGTACGCGAGCATCCAGATGTGTACGCAAACGCCCAGTAGTGCACGCACTGCAAAATTTATATATACGGAGGCTGATGAAACCAAATACCATAATTTCTCATGTATAAAACGCATTTTTTCCTAAAAAATAATAAGCAAAATCAGGGGTGCGTATTATGCACAGCTACAAAAAATCTTTTAAAAATTTCCTTAAAATAAAATAAGAATTATCATAAAACTAAATTAGAATAATATTATTCTATATTTAAAACCATTTTTTAAATAAGAGTAGGAAACGTTGGCCGTAATGAAATTGGAGAACTACAATTTATAGTGTTTGATTACCAAATAAGGGATGCGTATCATGCGTGAGTAGCATTTTCCTACACTTTCAGCACAATTTTACGGATACGTATTATGGATGAAGTCGTATTATACATGGGGAATTATGATACATAAAACACTATAATTCCAAGCACTAAACTTACTGTATATCTTCTTCTTCAATATGCCGTGTTCCTTCAGGACGTTGGAGATCATGGTTCACCACAATTTCTTGTCCTTTCTAGCTTTTAATAAACTTTACCTTCTTTGATCTCTCGTAAACTCTATCCCGTCATTTACACAAACTTGTATGTTGTGCGATGTTTTCTTTTGTCTCTCTTACCTTCAATATGTCACATTTTCCAAGCCCACTTTCCCCATTATATACCTTAGAAATTTCAAATATATTTCCCTGATGTTAAGTATCCATTTTCTTTAAAACCTCATTGTTGCTCAAATTTTCACTTCATGGTATTCTCAACATCCTTAATCCTCTGCTTAGCTTTTGAAAGACTCTTTCGACATCCCAGTGAGCCTTTGGATTTCACTATCACACTTTCCATCCTCTGTTAAAACACTTCCCAGATATTTAAATTGCTATAATTTCTTACTATGTTATCTCAGAAGATTGCATTAGGCAAGCTTCGAGCTTGGGTAAATAGAAGTCAGATCAGCGAGTGGAAAGGATTGTAAACATAGTTAAGAGCTCTAAAAGACAGGAAGTTGTAAAGCGCCATAATATCCCTCGTCCAGAAGGGACACGGCACATAAAACGAGGGAAATTTATATCTACGGAAATATGTTATTATTTATTGACCTGTCACATTCGGTGTCCTTTCTCGCGAATTATAAAACACCTAACAGCCAAATCTTTATGACGCCAAACTGTCTCTCCAGCAAATCGATTTACATTTATTCCCTAACCCTGGCCGTAGGATTGAAGCGAAAATATACAGGGAATTACATCGGCATTATCAAAAACTGGGAGGCAACAAAAAAAATCTACATCTTGCGTAAATCAATGGCAGAACAGAAAACTGCAGAGGATAGGAAGTTGTGGAGAGCTATAAGCCCCCACATCATTAATAGACACGTCATATAAAAGAAGGAAAGAACAATGTTATGAGGTTGGAAATTCGAAAATTTACGAAATTTGATATATATACGTAGGTAAAGAGCAAAAAATGTTCAAAACTGTTATGGATATAACCAGAAGCAAAAATACCGCTAACAATAATAATTCTGAAGCAGGTATATATAAAATAAATAGCCAGAATTGCCCCTCTTTGGGGGAAACTTGCAGAAATTTTTAAAAAAATGTAGCTACCAACATAAAAGGGATCTTACACAGAATGCATTATTTGTTATTATCTTTAACCTCATATTATTCAAAATATATAAATTAATCCCAAAGTAAAATAATCTAAATACTGATTTGCATAAAAATATCAAAAACATCACTTACTCATGTTCATTTATTAGACTTTGAATTGTGTCATGTCGTGTCCTCCATAGATTGTGTGACTTTTCAGCTAACCTGATGAATATTTATGAGCGTTCCTAAACTTAAAAATTATGAAAAACAAATAACATCTTTGCTCTAATAGATAAATACCTGTTACAAAATAAAATCCTTGACTTGAAGATGAAGCGCGCCGGCTAAATTAAGTTTCCTTTTGTTTTTATTCATATTGTCCTTTTGCATATATATTCTATCTGAATATTTTACATATATAATCTCAGTGGGGAGACTTGGGCAAATACGTGATCACACATACGGAAATCAATACATGCACTAGTTCTAAAATAAAAGTTCCAAAGTAAAGTGTGTATTCTAGATCCATATTAACACAATGGACATTAACATAAGTCTATACTCATGTATGATTGTCTGCGATATATTATTCCACGCCTCTTTTTGTCGCAAGAGGTGGGCTAAATGAAACAGTCATCGTCCCATCATGTCCATACATGTTCGATTCGGAATAATTAGGTAATTCAGCAGACTATTTACCATTTTCGAGCTAGTCTACATAACCATGTGTTTTATTCGTTTATGATGGATTGCTATTTAATATGTATTCTAATATGTGGCAATGAAAGCGGGATAATTTCGCTACAAATAAAAACAAAATTACTTGAGACAACAGAGATGTGATAAGACAGAAAAATGTGGAAACAACATAGACAAAAGAATAATTTGTCATGAGAAGAACTACAAAGAGACTGTTGAGACCAGTCAGAGAGAGAGAGAGAGAGAGAGAGAGAGAGAGAGAGAGAGAGGAGAGAGAGAGGAAAGGCAGAAAGAGGGAGAAAAGGAAAAAAGAGAAATTACATAAACTTTTTCAGCATTTAATAAGGAACTGAGATTTAGAGGATTTTGCCGTTATCTCGAATAGAATCAAGATACATACCCAACAAAATTGTGTAAAAATAAATATCACAAATAAATCTGCGAAGAGCAGCAAAATGCTGGATCATGTGGAGAGCCATGCTCACCTATATCATGAAGAGACAGGATACATAGAGAGAGAGGTAAAGGGGGAAATCATTTTCCAACAGAACGTGTTCAATTTATTACTTACCTTGTAGATGAGAACGATGTTTTGACTCCTCCTCCGCATCCATTCAATGCGAAGATCCTTTTCGATTTCCGGTTTTAATTCGGATAATAATACGAATCGAAATAGGATTAATTGCATATTATTGGATATCACTAATACAAACCTTCCTCCGGGTGGACTTTACATTCCACATTCACGTTCATATATTACTGTCACAGATATTTTCCACTAGACACACCAGCACCTGCTATGGATTCAATATATTAGGTACTCCTACAGTCCTGATGAGTTACGAGACTCGTAATCGGGATAATTAGAGTTATGAAAGATTTATGGATATTTGGCAAATATATATTATTCAAAATATCACTTCAATATAAGTTTTCAGTTTCGAAGTGTAAAGATAAAAACGTTAGGCTTAAAAGAAAATCATCAATTTCCTGTTGATTAACCATTTCTTTTTTGTTCTTTTAAAGACGCATGTATATTGTGTTCTTCAAAGAAAATGCTATATTCGCCTGCAGAATTCGTAGTTAATGTTCTTTTAATAATACTCTAGTCTCTCATTGCCTTCAGCATGAAACATCATCAGAATTGAG